GCACGTCCCGCCTCCACGACACCAACAGCGACAACAGCTCCGGCGTGGAAGCCCTCTGGCTGTCCGTGGGCGGCGCCCGCCGAGCGACCGTGACTGTGGGTGCTTTCTACCGACCACCAGGTGCTTTGAACGCACAACAATTAGACTGCATTCGTAATCAGTTTGAGATCGCACTTGCATTAGGCAATCGTGTTTTTGCCCTCGGTGATTTTAATGTGAACCTTATGAATGCTGAATCTGCCGAATGTCGTCTTTTCAATGCGTTGTTGAATGATCTAAATCTTGCTCAACATGTTTCTGATATCACACATCCACATCCATCGCCCGCATTGCTCGATTTGATCATATCTGACTCGTCTATCATCGATGTCAGAGCCTCTGTTCATACTCATTAGAGATGTCAATCGGATATTAACTTTTTGGTATACCGATACCAAACCGATACCAACTTGGTATTTGGTATTTCGGATCCTAATGTGTTTGGTATTTTGTTGGTATCATGAACCCTCGCTAATGTATAAGAGGCTAAGAAATCGGTAAAAAGTTGGTATTTCTCTCATGTTCCCAAGTTGGTTTGGTTTCGGTATTTCCCCATGGTTTAGGTTGGTATTTGGTTTGGTATCGGTATTCCGATTTTCTGTAATTGACATCACTAATACTCATCTTTTAACCCGCGCCCGGCTGGGGTCCTGGATTTCCACGCCCTGCTGGGGGGGGGGGGGGGGTGTTTGAACACCCCCCCCTTGTAACTCGGCTCCTGGGCCACGTAGCGATACGCGGAAGGCGGCGTTCGAAAGAGCGTCAAAAATAATGACGAAATCATTTCGGTCAATTTTTTGGTCAGGTCATAGGTCAGGTCACCAGAGGTCACTGAAGGCAAAATTTCGCCGATTTCCAGGTCGAATGTCGAAAATTTTTAAGAAGCCAACGCATAACTCGGGAACTAATAGAGCTACAGCGCCGCGGAAAAGCGCATTCGATAGCCCTATTAACGCCCTTTCTGAGTAATTCTCTCAGATTTGACCTAACGTCAACGGTTTTGCCTGCAGGGGGCAAAAACTGCAAAAATAGCCGATTTTTTTCGGAAACAGTTTTTCTGCAATAACTTTTGACCCAAGCCTTGTACGAGCTTTCTTTTACCGGCATCGTGTTCCTCTCGTCAAGACGCATCGAATGAAATATAAGTTGACCTTGAAAGGTCAACTTGAAAATTTGACCTCAGGTCAAGGTCATGACCTGACCGGAAAGGGTCATGTTGCATATCAGTCGATCCGTATCGTCGAGCTGAACACATCTAAGGCGTTTTCATCGCTCTAGCATGCCTCTATCAAGAGTTATTTGCGAAAAACTGTTAGATACCATTCGTGACCTAAGATGACCTCAGGGCATAAACAAGGGTCACGGACACCATTTTCATATTCTGTGTGCCTAAACCACTTGTAATTCGGTGTTTGGGAGTGTTTATAATGTCTTTCGTCCAAAAGAGGCGCATTTCAATTTTCTCCCATTGACTTATAATGGGGAGGTCGCAAAATTGACCTGACCTTAGGTCATCGATATCGAAATTCTGAGATATACATTTTGTACATGCTATTGCTCTTAGCAATCGCTGAAAGTTTCAAAGCGATCGGTCATTTGGTGTAGCTATGACAGACATTGAAACTTTTTATGAGGTGAGGTCACTTCAAGTGACCTGGTGACCTGACCTTGAATGACCTTGGTCTGAAATTTTCACAACATGTGTAGAATTGATGTATGATAAGGTGTACAAAAAACGGCGGCGCTTCGCGCCGCCGTTTTTGAGATATTCGCGAAAAACCACAAGGGGGTGTTCAAACACCCCCCCCCCCAGCAGGGCGCGGGTTAACTGATCATTTTCCTGTTATCATTCGTACAACCGCCAGACGAGCCCGGAGAGCTCCTGTGACTTTTCAGACACGTGCATGGAACACAGTAGATTGGGATGCTTTCTCCCTCGACATTTTGTGTGCAAACTGGAACTCGTTTTACCTCGCCCCCGATATAAACACGAAACTGACATGCTTTATGAATATCTGGAATAACGTTGTAAGTGTACACTGTCCTGTTACAACTAAACGTGTGAAGCGCCCATACTGTCCCTGGCTCAAAAATGAAGAAGTAAGAACTGTTATGTCCGAGCGAGATGCTGCGCGTCGCGCTTGGAATCGAACCCATTCTGACGCGGACAAAAACGAGTACCGTCGCTTGCGCAATAGAGCCAAAGTTGTGCTGACCGAGCATCGTCGTTCCTACCTCACGGAATGGTTAGGACAAGACGCAAGGCGCTTTTGGGCGAGATTGAAAGACTTTGGCGCGGACCTCTCCTCTAAAAGCCACCGCTCCAAATCGAAAACAGCGGAAAACAGCCTCTCCGCAGACTCTCTAAACAAGCACTTTGCCAGCGTCGGTGCTCGCGTGGCGGAGGCCGCACACGCCGCTCGCCGCGACCACGGCCTCAGCGCCGAGCCTCGCCCAAATCGAGTATGTGCTACCTCTTTCGTCCCACATTGTGTAACCCTTCCAGAACTTTCGCGCATTATATCTCGGCTCGGAGCGTCACGGGCAGTAGGTTTAGACGGCATACCCCTGCACGCCCTCCGGAGTTGTCTCCCCGTCATAGTCCCCCATATTCTCCACCTTGTCAACACATCCATATCCACCTGTACCTTTCCAGATGCCTGGAAGGTCGCCGTCGTCACTCCCATCCACAAATCAGGAGATCTCAACGACCCAAGCAACTACCGCCCAATATCAATTCTTCCAGCCTTATCAAAGATCCTTGAAAAAGTGGTATGCTCCCAACTCAGTTCCTACCTTATCACAAACCACATCCTCTCACCCTCCCAATACGCTTATCGCCCATCACACTCTACAGAAGATGCCCTCCTCGACATTGTCGGATGGACAGCTGAAAAGATTGATGTCGGTCACCTTGTGACATCGATCGACTTGAGCAAGGCCTTCGACAGCGTCGACCACCCGATACTGCTGGACAAGTTAGAGTGGTACGGTGTATCATCCAGCTGGTTCAGCAGCTACCTGTTCGGTCGCTCCCAACTTGTCCGTGGAGGATCCTCAGCGGCTCTTCCTCTCTCACATGGAGTCCCCCAAGGCTCTATAATCGGTCCCATCCTCTTCCTCATCTTTATCAACGACCTACCATCTTTCCTGCCCCATGGTAGACTAGTATCCTACGCAGATGATACCCAAATCCTAGACTCAGCACCTAACAATCCTGACGAACTCCAAGCGCTGAGGTATCGAGCCGAAAATAACGTTGAATGTCTTCAGCAATGGTTTAGTAGAAACAGTCTGAAAATGAACGCAAGCAAAACTTCTTTCATTATCATTGGCACAGTAAATGCAGTTGAAAAAGCATCATCCTTCACGATTCGGATAAATAACGAAGAAATCCGGCCACAAAAACATCTAAAAATCCTGGGCGTTGAATTCGATCAGACCCTCACCTGGGAGCGCCACATATCCTCAGTCGCCCGGCGTACCAACGCAATAATCATATCTCTTTTCAAAATCCGATCTCACCTCTCAAATGACATCCTCAAAATTCTTGTACAGACCCACGTTCTCCCTCACCTTCAGTATTGCTTGTCAGTATGGGGTGGGGCGACACGCACCCGCCTGAACCGACTGCAGAAGGTCATAAATTTTGCCGCCCGACTGGTATCTGGTTTACGCCGAGGCGACCATATATCCCCCGCCCTCGCGACGCTTGGGTGGCCCGATATCGACACGCTAGTGATGCGTCGCGACGCGATAAACATCTATCGCGCCCTACATGACCCCGCAGCCCCCCAGCCGCTCAAAGCCATGGCGCGCCCTCGCCAAACAGTGTGTTCGCGTCGAACGCGAGCCACCGCCGCCGGCGCTGCGGTACTCGCGCCCCCTCGCCTCCAGCTGACGACCGCGCGGCGACTTTTTCCTTACCGAGCCGCCGTGTCATGGAATAAACTTTCGCGTGTGACTACACTTTCCATGTCACGTCGCCAGCTCATGACCAGGCTGGAACAGTGACAAATACCCTCCTTATCTGCTTGTTTTCAACTCTGTTACTTTCATTACATGTATGTGTGTTTGCAAATGTATGTTGTGCTGTCAATGCATCGCCATGTTAACTGGGCTCGTAATAGCCACCTGTGGAGAGTTTCCAGTATAAATACAATACAATACAATACAATACAATACATTATATCATATGTTTGATAGCTTGAAACTGCTTGAAACCAAGGCTTAGGGTATGTGTAAAATTTACTGACTCGAGGGTACTGAAAGTTTCGTCGCGATCGGCCGCTTTTTACGCGAGTCATTTGCGAAAAACCGAGGATTATAAGGGCTTTGTTAACCCCTCCCCTATATGGGCGAGGGTTAACAAAGCTTATCTGGTATAAGCCTTTGCATATGAAAACTTGCTTACGAAGTCTAGTTTACGAACCTCGGTACAGGAAACCATACTTTTTCTCGAGAATGACCGCTGTACTGCAACACTTTTTCAGAGAGTGCACTGGAGTCCCTGCTGCGCATTCTCGGGAGTTTGAAGAGATTCTGCCGGAGGAGTCCAACAAACGCCCCCACATCGCTCAGGACGGCATGTCTTACAACATCTTCGTGGAGTGTGTGTCTTCGTGGTGGTGGGTGACACAGACGATCTGAAACAGGCTGTCATTCTGTTGGCGATCGCCCACTTCATCTTCAACCAGCGTGCAGGCCGAGCGCAATAAAAAATACGAACTGGTTTTTGGCGTCAAAAGATCCGGCTTGAATCAAACATCAGGTATGCGGAGTTTCAGCTCTCTATCGCCAGCGCGTTCGGAGCTATCGCGAAAAAGAAATATGGGGGGGGCGGCACCCGCCGCACCCTTTCGGCCGGCGAGGGTTTAAGGGATAGGCTGACATTTTTTGGGCCGCCTTCTGAGGCTATCGTAACACGCTACAGCTTCGGTCATTAACTTGGAGCAAACCGCTTTGGAAAAAAGAGCTATATTAATGGAACGGGTGCACTGGCGCCTGAATGCGCTGTAAAAATGTGTACTTCCAGAACTACAAATCCAAAATATCGTGATCCTGTCACCAAATTTGATACCAAATACATCGACTCACCAACAGATAATCATTATGAAGAAAATATGACCTCAGCCCTCCAATTTCGTTAAACTCAAATTGGTGCGGTGAGGCATGCGGTTGCAGGCCTGGAGGGGGCGCTGGCCACGCTACATCGGCGCCGCCCCAAGCCCGGAGGCCCTTCGGAGCGGCGCGTCATCGGGCGCTGCCAGCGCCGCCGCCGCCGCCGCCGCCGCCGCCGCCGCCGCCTACAGCTCCTGGTGGCTGGCGGCCCCGTACGGGCCGTGCTGGTAGCGCTCCGGCACCGGCTCGTCGTGCTTCTGCCGCCGGAAGAAGCCGCGCTCGGTGAGCAGCGCGTTGCAGGCCTTTCGGCTGAGTTTTTCCAGAGGGATACGCTCCACCACCTGTCGGAAAGAGCGGCGCCACGGGACCCATCAGTACAGGGCAGGACAGTCAGTACAGGACACAGCCGCTTCTCAGTAGCCCGGGTCTTTTTATTATTTTTTATCACTGTCCCTTAGCACCCCAATGTGGGGTGTTGGGGACACCTATATTATTACAAGAAATGGTCATCAACACACAATTAGGGTGTGAAAGGGCACACAATTTATTTATTGAAATGTTTTACATATTCAGGGACGTAGTCAACGGGGGGGGGGGGGGGGGCGGAAGGGGCGCCCACTCCTCCCTTGGGGTTTTCAGGAGGCCCCAGGCCCACGTTGGCCAAAATCACGTCGGAGGCGAACGAAATTCACGGGAATCTAAAAAAAAATGACGTCAGAACAATCAGGGCCCTCTGACCAGCCTGAAAGCTAGGGCCGAATCGGCCTCGGAGGGCCCATCTTGGCCTTTAAGGGCCCTCCGCTGGCCTCTGGGGTCCAACGCCAGCCCATGCCAGTCTTTTAGGGCCCCACACTGACCTCTGAGGGTCCTATGCTGGCTTGTAAGGACACATATTAGCATAGGCGGCGGAACGGGGAGGGCACCGGGGCACCGTGCACCCCTTTGATTTTGGCATTTTAACGTTAGCCCTATGGGCGTTGCATGGAAAGAATGGGACCAAAAGCGAGCAGTGCCCCCTCCCCCCTTAATTGAGGGTGTTCCGCCGCTATTTATTTATTTATTTATTTAACATATCAAACATATCCTCTATAAAGAGGCTATTACATGTTTTCGTCATACAAGAATAGAACACAGGGGACGACTAAATTGAGAATGCTGGCACGGTTGTCATACACACTTCACACACACAAACACACAAACACAACACCATCAGTGTAAAAATCGGACAGTCAGGTATTGGAGAGCATGTGGCGTTTGAGGGCAGCCCCAAACTGCTTTCTACTGCCGCGACAATCACAAACATGGGACGGAAGAGAGTTCATGAGGGAAGCTGCCCTGTAGGCAAAGCGCCTCCGCCCGTACTCGTTCCGGATGCGTGGCAGATGGAGCTGGTTTCTGGCCCTCGTGCACCTCGCTGTTTCTGACAAACAATGCAGCTAGCTCCTCGGGTTCGGACATGTCAGACAGCCTGCGCAAGGCCGTCAGAGTGTAATACTGATGGAGTTGACCAGCAGACAGCCAGCCCAGAGACCTCAGCGTGTCGCTGATATGGTCATATTTGCGCTTGCCCGATAGGACTCTGGCACAAAAGTTTATGCACTTTTGAATTCTCTGGACAAGCTGACCGCTGGTTGCCCCGTACACCGATACACAGTAGCGAATAGAGGACATGACGAGACCGTCTATGAGTCGAGGTAACACCTCAGCTGGTAGTCCATGTTTGGCATGGCACAGCGACAGCAGAATACCTGAACACTTTCGCACCACATGATCAATATGGCTATCAAATGACAGATGTCGGTCGAAAATGACGCCCAAGTTCTTGGCTGTTGGGCTCTCTCTGATCAAAGTGTCGTCAATTGTTACCGTTACCGGCGGCAGGAGTCTAAGGTTAGGACGAGAGCCGAAAACAATAAGTTGAGTTTTGCTGGCCTTGAGCTTCGTGGCGTTCTTTCGAAACCACCATGAAAGAGCAGCTAAACTGCGCTCCATATTCGAAATGTTGAGCGGCATCGTATGCTTTGGACCTGTGACTAAAACCTGTGTATCATCAGCGTACTGAATGATGTTGGAATTGGCATCCTCGACGTATAGTCTGTCTTAAAAGTACCGCGCAAAGTGACGGTGGATCCATCGAGCCTGACTGAGGAAGGGCCTGCTAAATTTGATCCACCGGAGCAATTGACATTCTCGTCCATTCCTCAGGTCAATTGGTTCGCTGACTTTCAAATTATAGCAGGCTCTTCCTCGGTCAGGCTTGATGGGTCCACCGTCACTTTGTCATTACTGTCATTACTGTAAATGCTATACAACAGAGGCCCGAGGGCGGATCCCTGGTACGTGCCTAGCGGGTTGACCAGCGCGCGAGACAGGCGGCGGCCGGCGGTGCGGAGGCTAACTTCGTGACGGTGACCGTGAGCTCTACCGTCACGGATCCGTCACGGATCGTGACGTCACGGATGTCACGGATCGCGCTCCTGCTGTCCCTCAGTATGCTGCTGCGCACCTGTCGGTTCAGCTGTTTGTAGAGCTCACGGTCACCGTCACGAAGTGCAGCCCGGCGCTCCGCCATGACGGCTTTAGTGGTGTCACTGCTCGGGGTTACATGAGCAGAGTTAATACGCATTACAAACGGACTACAATGGTGAGCGAATAGGAAAATCCGTTCCTGACACGCATTTACTTGCTCATGTAACCCCGGTAACTGACCGGAGGCGCGGCAGGGTTGCGAATGGACGTGGGGGACATATCGTATGCATATTAGCCTCTATGGGCCCCGCACTGGATTTTGAAGACCCGATGCCGGCCTCTAAGGGCCCTGAAAGCCCATCTTGGCCTTTGAGGGCCCTCTGTTAGCCTCTGGGGTCCAACGCCGGCCCATGCCAGTCTTTCAGGGCCCCATTCTGACCTCTGAGGGCCTCATGCTGGGCTGCAAGGGCGCACATTAGCCTCTGAGGGCCCCGCACTGGATTCTGAACACCCGATGCCGGCCTCTTAGGGCCCGCATCACCTTTGAGGGCCCATCTTTGGCCTTTGAGGCTAGCCTCTGGGGTCCAACGCCGACCCATGCCGGTCTTTTAGGGCCCCACGCTAACCTCTGAGGGTCCCATGCTGGCCTGTAATGACCAACATTACTCATTAGCATCTGAGTGCCCAAGTCGGTCTCTGATGGTCTCAAACTGCCCTTTGCAGGCCCTGTACTGGTCTCTGAGGGCCCTAAACTGGCCTCTAAGGGCCCAAACCGGCCTCTTAAAGGTTCCACACCGTCCTCTGATGGTCCCATTTCTGTCTCTGGGACCCAAGCTGACCCTGATGTGCCTCTGAGGGCCCCGTACTGGCTCCTGAAGGATCGATGCCGGCTTCTGAGGACCCATACCGGTCTTTAAAGGTAGTGTGCCACCTTTGAAAGATTTCCCGTTTTATTTTTCCTAGGATAAGAAGCTTCTGTTTTTACCTAATATCGCAAAAAAAATCAAAAATGGGCCTGGAATAGTGCCTTTTTCGCCTAAAAGTTTATCGGTTTTTAGATATGTATAACAACTGTAGTGGGCTCACCTGCAAACAGGCGTCGGGCAACAATCGCGAATGCGGCGCACTTGTGACAATAAGCAAAGGTCATTATAGTGTTACGACCATACGACGTACGGGAATGAGTAATCAGCTGTCTAATCGTAGACAACACAATGTCGAGCCTTAAACTGTAAGCCTGTATTGGTATTGTTTCTTAAATTTGGCTGTCGAACATTAATTTGTGGTTTGAAATATGATTTTATGTAAAATAATTGATATGAAACAGCCGTCTCTTAAGTTATGACCCCATTACACCACACGCAAGTGGCAGAAATGACAATGATCAGCTGACGCATTTTTCTTGGCCGAAGTCAGAGCGCGCGGCCCGACGCACCACGCGTATTTGGAAATTCCGACCTCGACGAGCATCAGAAGCCACCTAACAGGCGTGTTCGAAACCGCAGGAGATGATGATGAACGGGTTTATCGAAACTTGATTGGATGAGCCTATCGGTAATAGCGATTTTAGTGTGTGCATTTATTGTTCATAGGGGTGTGAAATGTGGTTGGGGTACGACCGACAACCCGTCGGGGCGAATTTCGCACTGGGGTACTCAAAATTTGAAGAATTTAAGACGTTTCCATAAGTTTTGAAGGTATGGATAAGTTCTAAAAATCCGGTTCTCCTTATCCGGGTCATTAACTCCATATGGTCCAAGAAAGCTGGCACACTACCTTTAAGGGCCTCACACCGACATCTGAGGCCCAACACTAGCCTCTTAGGTGCCCCAAACTTGCCTCTATATGCCCCCAGCTTACCTATGAGGTCTCTACACCGGCCACTGATGGCCCTATTATGTTCTATGGGGGCCCAATACTTACCTTAGGGCATCACGCAATTGCCTCTGAGGGCCCACATTAGCCTCTGGGGCCCCATCTGGGGCCTTTGAGGCCCTTCGCTGACCCTTGGCTCCAACGCCGGCCTCTGGGGGGGTCTGACACTGTACTCTAAGGGCCACATTGCAGCCTCTATGCGATAGGTATCGCCGAAGCGTTATCCATGGGCCTATAAGTGTAGGAACCATGGGTGCAGTGGATGCAGTTGCACCAACAATAATTCTCCGGTGGGTGCAGACAATGTATTCTGCACCCAAAATAATCTGGAATAAAAACCCCTTTTCTCATCAACACTACTTTCGATGCAGCACGACAAATTCAGAGGGTTGTTCACGGGCCCTGTGTGCGGTCGGACCGCACACCCGGTCGGGACCGGCCACAGGAAACCGTCCACCGCACACAGCCGTGACGTCAGAACCGCCTACCCATCCCCTACCCCCACGCCTGCTGGACCCACCGCACCCACCGCACGCAGCAGTGTGCGGTGCCCGTGAACAGCCCTCAGGATATTTTGCCCACTCACTACTATCCATCTTTCGATGCATTTGCTACTGTGATGGTCTTCAAAACTTACATTTGTGCTCAAGTAAAAATAAGAAACGGAACACATGTGATTGAACACATACCGATGACCCACTGTCAAAAGTTTTAGCACGATATCTTCGAAAATGGCTAAGTTAGCCGGTTCAAAGCTGGCAATGAGCCTCCGCTCGGGTGCCGCTCCCTACCCCCCCCCCCCCCCCCGATTCACCGGCCATGGCTAGATTTCTGCACCCATGCACTACGGCCGTGGGCCCCTTTAAGCTAGCACCGGGCCCCCGGGTCAGTGCAGGGGCCTCTTTGCCAAGTTGCCCCCCCCCCCATACGCCAAGTCTGCGACCGCCCCTGTCCTTCTCACCTCCTGTGAGTAACCACTAGTGTGTGTGTGTCTTAA